AGAAGAGAAATAAAGGGTTGGGTAAACAAAATTTTGAGTGAGTAAAAGGTTGGGTAAATGAAAAACAAAACAATTCAAGGAAGGGTTGTGTAATAAAAATTTATTGTCATTTCCAAAGCATGATTTTCTCAAATATTGAAGACTAAAAAGCAATGTCAACAGTCGTATGTCAATACAATATGCAAATCAATCAGAGTCACTATCTTGATCATTTTCCGATTTGTCAGGAGGCAAATGGTGTCTCCAAAGAAAGTACATGTGCAGACAACATGAAACTTTAGACAGCAGAAAATTGCACAAGCAGTTAATAATAATCAAACTCGTTTCACAGAAGTGGTAAAGGACATGTGTGACAACTGATTGGTATCCTTTTGTAAAGCATTCGGTCTTAAAACCTTTTCCGTGAATAATACAACAAAACTACAAATACCATTGTTGGATTATGAAGCCTTTCGTTTTCCTTATTTGAAGTTACCACAAAATTCTCTTGTGAAACACTACAATAAAATGCAATGAGTTTTGCAACAGAAAATGGACTGAAAAGCAAAAAAAAATTTTATGTTTTATTGTACAATACCTTCGTCGAGATGCATGGCCAACAAACTCAAATGGAAAATACGTTTTGGATTTTTGAACAGTATCGCTGGCTTCCATAATTCTGTTTTCTTCATAGTTCAACTTTCTTTTTACAGTTTTTGATTGTCTGTTGCAAAAGAAAAATAGTCTTTATATATACCTTGGCTGTGCCTTTTTAAAATAAAGTTAGCTTTAAATTTTTGTACCTTGCGTATGGAATAGCTGACAAGAAGTCTGTGTTGGCTATATTTTCTGGTAGTTCAGTTTTCTGATAATCTCTAGATCTTCTTGTCACTTGGTTTTGCTTATCAGGAAAGCCAACGGGTCCATTTTCATTATAATATTTCGTCGGGGTACTCTGCGGCACTTGCGAATTTAGAAATTGTTTTTGCGTTTGAAATTTGCTTGGCGTTGAAAAAGGCTGCCAACCTATCACCTCCGAGTCAAGTAAAAGTTCATCTCTTCGGTTTGAAATAGAAAATTCGTTTAGAAATGCCTGATTTTGATCCATTTAAAAATATATTTCTTTCCCAAAAGTTCTTTTTCATAAAAAGATTTGCATTTTTTTGTTTTTTAAATTTTCCCGCCTAAAAGTTTACGTGGAGCCCTCGCGTGTATCGCAGCATCGCGCGTGACGCGTGTATTCTGGTGAAGAAAAGAAACACAAAATGGCTGCCGCACGAGACCAAAATGGGTAAGATATTTTCTAAGCTTTTTCTGCTTTACCAAGCTTAAAGCATCGTTTTTACTGCATTTCTACAAACTTTAGAATGTTTTCTTGTATTTCAACTATTTTATTTAGCTTCCAATGCAGTCAAACGTTTGAAAATTACCCATTAAAAATTGTTCATTTTTATATCATTTTTGTTGCAGTCGAAAGCGAGCAAGTAAATGGGACACTCCAACCCAAAGTACTGGTTCGGCAACGGAGGCAGCACATGAGGCTGCTCGAAAACTGAATGCTATGCTCGCTGCCAAAGGAAAGTTAACCACAAATTCAACACCACCACTACTGGTATTAAATTATTCATAATTTTTGCCATGAAAAACATGGTATAAACTTTGGTTTCTGGAAACAGCACAGATATTTATCATTGCAAAGTCTTCAATCCATAAGCTCGGACCTTTGTTGTTATTATATTAATACATTATTAGTATTTTGGCCTGACAAGTCGAAAGCTTTGCAGTATGCATGAGGTCAAATTTCTGCACATGTGAGTCTACAAAATAACAAAAATGGCGAGGAAAATGTCTGCCAAAATAAAAGGAGTAAATACGGGAAACGAAAAGCATTTACTAAGGGACCCCTTCGGATGTCCTAATACATTTACTATTATCAGAAACAATTTTTTCTCCCCCTCCGGACGGCAGAAATTTCCTCCGTGGGAGGAATATGGATCTTTTCTGGAACAACCCATTGATCAACAGGCTCTAATATATATAGTATTTCTGTTGACTGTATTTTTTTATGTGGCCTAAAAATGATACTATTATTATAACAATACTAATTATTTTCAGAAAAGTATACAGGTAAATGACTAACGGCATAAATAAATCTGGAAAAGGTCCTTTGTGGAAGATAATCTGTCTGACAAACCCACACAGTTTTTCTTGACAGTGAAAAGGAAATATCACAATAAACAAAAGCCAGAATGATATTTATTGGACCGCTGATACATGTTGATGTGATCAGCCAATAACTAATCTGCCCGAAAGTTGCTGATTATCAGCTTCTACTGATTAATTTCCAATTATCGGCTAGGCTTGGGCGGTTTACCGGTTTTTCTGGTTTTTTCAGTTTTATTTTCAAACCGGTTTTTTCGGTTTAGCTTTTACAAAAACCGGAAAACCGTCATTACATAATTGTTTACTGTCATCGCCTGAAACTTGATCTTAATTCTCAAAACATGACACTAATCAAACTCAATTACATGACACCAGATACAAATTCTATTATTTTCCGTAAAGTCGGTAAGAACTAAAGAGGTATAAGTTTTCAAATGCGTTCTTGACCCTTTTATTTTAAAACTGAAGTCGTTTTAGGTTACCTTTGCACAATTTTGCGTTTTGTCATGTACTGTTTGTTTGCTTATGTCAAAGAAATACCAAGTAAAAATTAAATGAAAAAAACCGGTTTTCCGGTTTTACCGGTTTAGAATCAGACGGTTTTTCGGTTTTGATTTTAAGCAAAACCGCCCAAGCCTATTATCGGCTCATTCCTAATATAAAGATGAAATGTTTTGTCTAGCCACCCAAACCAAAGTCCACCACAGGAACAAGCAGTGGTTCTGCTTCTACGTCCTCACTCTTAAATGAAGAAGTGGAAATCAATGACTCACCTAGAAGGTAAATTAGATCTAGTGGTTAATTTTTTGTCGGGAGCGACAGCGTGAACAAATCTTGCACAGACTTTCAATACCACCAACCAAAACCCCAGGACTTAAAACTATATTTTTTCAAAATTTCAGGCTTCTTTTGTGTCAGAGTAATGTCCAATACGAGGTAGAATTTGAACTTTGTAAATGCTTATTATAAACTACCAATTACGTACTATGTACTAAATTATAATAATTACAAATCTCCATTATATTTACATTTCATATTTTTTAGATAAACAAGTACTCGGGAGCTGCTGTATCAACAAAAGGACAGTACATTGCTCCATCCGAGAAAGGAAATTATATGACTGGGTATGTCACATCTGTTTCTTGCCCTTGGCAGGGTTCCAAATGGCATGTTGCTTGTGCCTGTGGTTCAGTATTAACAAAAATTAATAGCCCAGTTTTCAAGTACCCCCCCCAAAAAAAAAATTATAAGGTTAGCGCAAGTGAATTAATGATACATGTTTTGATATGTATTTAGTAACATATGGCTGTAAAGTATAGTCCATTTTACAGGTTTTGATACCAGTACTGATGGAAATTGGCATGACTGCACTATAAAAACATTATAATTAGTGACAATTGCAATGCCATTACAATACACACAATTTTAGCATTTCTGGTATTGGTAATGTTTTTATAAAATTGCCGTTCTAAGTTCTTTTGAAAATCAATACTAGACAATTTGCATGTTAGCAAAGCATCCGGAAAAGTGGTGACCATAAATACTGTGACGTTATAAAGTTACCGTTTTAAAGGTCAAGTGCAGCTTAGAGATGTGATATACTTTTACAATTCATGTATAGAATCTATATATAGACGTTGGTTTATATAATAAAAACTCTAGTTTTAGTACTCAAACTAAAAAAATAAGACCATGCCTATTGCCTATGCCCATATTATTAGAAACAACAGCTTTAAAAACAACACCGAAGAATACAATTTAGTAATGTATGCCAAACATGAATCACAATTCGTCATTGCGTTATTTGCGTAAATAATCATTGCCTCAATAAATGAGTGATAAGCATAATAACCAATATTCAGTACATTGTACTATTGGTAGCTGTACTGAATACAAGGAATATAATGTCTTTCTTGCTTTTTTTCTGTTTACACGGCCGATGTTATTGCGATAGATTTGTGCAAGTGTAATTTAATATCACGCATTGTAATTATATAAATGCAAACTGCCTAGTTTTCTGGGCGTGAGAAGGTGAGGCGTAAAAAAAAAATACCTGTGGTTCCGGTTCCCGACCGACCCTATTTTTTTCTGCCGACCCTATTATTTTTTCGACGCGATTGACCGTGCGACCCTATTTTCTCCAGGTGGTTGCGGGCTGCTCATACAGCGTGCCAAAATGGCGTCTGTTGTCACACTAATTATTGAACCAAATTGCCTAAATTCGTCCATAGGAAATACGCATCTCTTGTTAATATTGATGTCGGAGCTCTACTGCAAATCGCCCAGCAAAATACCGCCAAAACCATGAAAAAAATATTCAAAAAAAAAATTTATTTCCGACCGACCGACCCTAATTTTTTCACGATATGAAACCGGAACCACAAGTATTTTTTTTTACGCCTGAAGAAGACTGGGAACGTCCTAGTTTTTTGTTCGCAGGGGTCTGAGAACGTCCTAGAATTACCTTATTTGGAAATAAACTAGGCTGTTGTCGTCAAAAACTAGGACGTTCCCAGACTCCAAAATACCAATCGCGTGCAATGACGTTGTTTTAATTAATCTAAATCTAGACATGTTGACAGAATAAAAACATTCCTAAAACAGAGATTATTAATATAATACGGAAACAGCTTTACATACGGTATTAAAATAGCAGAGTATTTTGAAATTAAGCACGATAATGTAGAATACATGTACACAACACAAACTGACAACCGATTTTGTGACCTATATCAGGCCATCAGGGCATCCTAGTTTACGTTTTCTGGTTGCCTAGTTTTTCAATTTTTACCATTATTTTGCCTAAAATTGGAAAATTTATGAGATTGGGTTCCCAGGCACAACTGGCCTCATTTGGAACCTTGCCCTTGGGCTGTATAATAATGTTGTCCAGCTGAAGTGAGCTTTTTAAAAACATTTTCACCACCGATAAAAAAAGAATCACCCATATAAACATGAAACTGGCAGACTTCCCAAATCTTTGTTATGGATTTTTTGCTTCCTATAACAGATACAGTTATTATGTTTGGTCTTCTTAAGTAAAAAAAAAGAGAAGTTTCACACTTGACGTTCATTTTCATCCCAAGTTAATCCATAACGCTGTGAAAAGTAGAATTGCTGCCTGGTTCGATCATCATAACGCAGGCAATTTTTGGCTTCCGGAAATTTTGCCTAATTCCGATGTCTGAATTTCTAATTAGGGCTTCACTCTTCATATAAAACCTACTTAATTAACACATTATTCTGACCTCAGATGAGGTGGACTCATTGGACTTATTCTTTATTTGTTAACATTTTTAGCCAAAAGCCATTGTACTTGTTTATCCAAGCTCCTTCACGAGACAAAGTATACTGTAAGTAAAATTTGATTATTTACCTGTTGAAGACTGCACACTGGCAGTCGAAAACTGGCAGACGAAAGCTCATGTTAAAATAAATTTTACAATCCGAGAATGCATCACTTAAAAACTCATTAAGTTGCAGACTGTTGCAACATTGGCACTCCCCAAGTTGCAAGGAAAATGGCGAATTTTAGTTACTGTCAACTTCTGTCAACTGCTTTTACAAAAATACCCATATCTCAAGATCAATGTTATAAAAAACCTTGAAATTTTGCAGTGGGTTAAAATGATAAATGATTAATCAATTCTATTTTAAATGAGCTCCCACACTAAAATATATCATTAGATTTTTGAGTGAGAATTCTTGGTTTGTGTAAATTTAAGTGTCTGACATTTTGTTTCTTCATGACACCCAACATCTGAAGGGCAATAAGTCAATAACCCAACATAAATGGAGAAATATTTTTTGATTCCTGGATTGGTACACATTTATTTTCAAATTAGTTTTCATCTTGTAGGGTATAAATTACAAAATAATGAAACGCTATAAAAATTTGCTTGGGCATAGCTCGGGCACACTCAGGACATCTAGTTTACAATGGAGAACTTGAACTTCAGAACTTGTTGTTCAAGTCCAAAAACTCTGTAACCCAAAAACACAGTGTTTGTACCTCTTTGAAGTTTTTAAATAGCTCAAATATGTTTGGAAAAACACGAAGTACAAAAATTACTAATTAAAATATAAACAAAGGATGAAAAAGGTGAGAAAATTTTAAAATATTTGAGGTGTTTTCAATTCTGACTTTGACAGCCGGCATTTTCAAACGCAGCGTGCGGTGATAAAACAAAAGGCTTTTTATTTCGCTATTAAGAGCACTGAAAGTCGTCAAAAAGAGATAAACACTTTTGAATATTCATCAGGTAAGAATTTTAACTGAAATTCCTTTTGTTTCTGTTGAGAAAACAACGGATTTGTGGCTAAAACGTTGTGCGCGCCAATGTAGGTT